GTATGTTAATTGTTGTTATTTTACATTAATATTTTGACAATTAATATTTTTTTACACTAATTACAAAAATCTTGGATGGAAAACAAAAAAGCACTACACCGCATGACATAAGAATAAAGCACATTTAAAAAAAATAAAACTCCAACATTAGGCTTCTATTCGGGCTTAGATAAAAAAATAATAAATAAAAATTTGTTTTATTTAATTTTTGTTCAGTAAAAGAAAAAGCTTTGGGTCCTTTTTTTTTTTTTAAAAAAAAATCTAACCTTAAGCTTGCATTTGGGTTTAGATAAGAAAAATTGTTTGGGCTGCATATTTTTTCGAACCATTCTTGGAGTTAAACCTTTATATTGGACTACATCTATTAATATATAAAAAGGCAACCTAAATAATTCTAAAATAGTAACTCAAAAATCATCTAAATCCCGCCTAAATATATTACTAAATAGAGCAAACAAATTTCGAAAAATTTGGAAATCCCGCCTAAATGTATTTTGAAATTTTGTTAAGTGCAATATGAACACAATGATTCCATAATTTGTGGAGCTAAATTTTTAAACTTAGTATATAGCCATGAATTTCGCCAATATTTGACATAAAATCGTTTCAATAAAAATAAAGCATAATTACATATATTTTGAATGCACATTGAATCCCATATACTACAGTTAAATAAGATGCTTATTATACAAATAGAAAAAGTAAGACTTAAAACTTGGTCTTCGTTCATAAAAACCGAAGTATGCAAAAACCAAAAACAAATATGACTAAATTGTTAGACATTTACGAATAAATATTTTCATATTTAAAAATCACGAAATAAGTTTTAAGTTTTGACCATTATTTTAAAACAAAAAAATATGTTGTTAAATATTTATTGACCTTATATACAACGAATAATTTTCTTTTATTGCTAATATATAAAAAATAATCAATTTTCTAAAGAAATGAACAAAACATCAAATGTTTTTAATACTAAAACTAGAGAATATTTATAGTTTAATCTATCTATTAATATATAAAGATACAATGATATTTACTTGAAATAACAACTAAAAATCAGAAAAGAAAAAATTTGATTTCCCCCCTAAAGTATTTACTATATTGAGTAATAGTTTTTGCCAAAATTTGAAAAATTCTGCCTAAATTAATTTAATTAATGTACAAAATCACTTTGGTCAAATATTGCGGCTATTACATTTATTAATTGCATGATTTTAATTTGGAATATAATTTATTGAAATAAAATAGAAAGATTTTTATTTAAAATTACAAATAAAAAAAATATTCATAATTTGCGGGTCAATATTAGCTTAGACGTAAACGAAATAGTCAATTATTTATAGTTTAATAAATTGTTCAATAACTTTTGAGTCAATATTATCTTGGACGTAAACGAAATAGTCAATTATTTTATATTTTAATTTATTACTCAACTAATTAATTTTTTTTTTGTTTGAATAGTTTATACAAAAATAGGTTATTTTAAGTAATGAAATGATATAAATTTTATATATATATATATATATATATATACTTATTATTCACATTGGTTGTTAAATATGACAACATTTTACCAAAAGAACTATTTTATGGAATTACATTATAGTCAAATCGAATTTCTGAATAAAAATTTGAAATGGTTCTTATTTTGAAACGAATATAATGTGATTTATTATCAGTTTGTGCACCACATGGGGTTGTGTACTAATTTTAAATAGAAATTTTATATAATTGTACAATTTAAATTATATATAACATTTTCACTAAATTAGAATAGATAATTGTATTACATATTGGTTCCATATTTTTATTTTACAAATTTTACTTAATAAGAATTTTTAATTTATAAATATTAGTGAATATATCTTACCCGTGCAGTGCACGGGACTCATACTAGTTTAAAAAATAAAAGTGTGACTGAGAAAAATTGTGTATATATATATGTAACTAGTACAATGCCCGTGTATTACACGGGTGCTTGCTAATTTTTTATTAAATTTTAAAATTAATGAGAAAAAGTAATTGAAGATTTCAATACCTTTTATAAAAATATATATATTATTATATATTTAGTATGACACTTTTTAATTTGTGCGACTTACATTTGTTATATTATAATATTTTTTGACTTAAAACATATCCTCCCTATATATTATTCCCGAATGCGCTGAGCCTACGTGGATCTTCTGGTGCTTCGGAATCCTACTTGACAAAGAATCATGCTTCGTAATTAGGTTTGGACAAATATTATTGATATATTAATAATTAATAATTTAGGTTTAGACATTCCATAAATATTATTTAGCTAACTTAGGTATTTTAATATCATTGTACTAATATAACCCTTTATTTCTTTTAATTTTACATACTGAGACACTAAGAGCAAGTTTGTTTATAAGAATTTTTAAAAAAATTTCAACATTTTAACTCAACCACTTTTTTAACTCAACTTTAACTCAACACCACTATCATCAATTTTATCAATATAATTAAATAATATCAATCAATCATTCATACACACCACATCAACCTTAATTCATTATTCATCTACTCACATAATTTTAACTAACAATCACATCACATCTACTCTCTTCTACTTTTACTTCAAATTAATTTTATTTATTTTATTTTAAATATTATTTTAATATATCCACTAACAACTAACCATACCACCTTTTCAAAATTAACCAAACCAAACAAGAAAATCAAAACAAACTCAAAAATTTTTATAAACAAACATGTTCTAAGTGACTAATATATCCCTGACTTTTGATTTGTTTCCTTCAATTAGCTAAAATTATAAATATATTTTAAAAGTCGATAACTTCTGTATTTTGTATCGGTTTTATATATATAATATATCAAATTATTCATCTTTTGATGATCTTCGATTTGACATCCATATTGTATATATGAAATAAATATATTATATTTATATTTATAATAATAAAAAATAAAATATTTATTAAAATTCATTAGAAAAATAAATTTATTTCTCAATTGATATATTTATGCTTAATGTAGTTATATGTTGTAAGTTAAAAAAATTATTATAATATAATACATGTAAGTTGCACAATTAAAAAGTATCATACTAAATATATAATAATATATATATTTTTATAAAAGGTATTTAAATTTTAAACTACCTTTTTCTCATAATTTTAGATTTTAAGAAAAAATTAGCAAACACCTACATTAAACATAAATATATCAATTGAGAAATAATTTTATTTTTCTAATGAATTAAAATAAATATTATTATTTTTTATTATTATAAAGTAAATATGATTTATTTATTTCATATATACAATATGGATGTCAAATCGAAGATCATCAAAAGATAATTAATTTGATATATTATATAGATAAAACCGATAAGAAATACAAAAGTTATCAACTTTTAAAATACATTTACAATTCAATAGCTAATTGAATGAAACAAATCAAAAGTCAGTGATATATTAGTCACTTAGTGTCTCACTATGTAAAATTACAAAGAATTAAAGGGTTATATTAGTAAAAGTTATATTAAAATACCTAAGTTAGCTAAATAATATTAATGGAATGTCCGAACCTAGATTATTAATCATTAATATATCAATATTATTTGTCCAAACCTAATTACGAAGCATGATTCTTTGCCAAGTAGGATTCCGAAGCACCAGAAACAGCCACGTAGGCTCAGCGCATTCGAGAATAATATATAGGGAGGATGAGGATTGCTGGTAAACTTAAGAGAATATTATTCAGCCAAAAATTAATAATAATATGAGTTCATCCAATAAAAATATGTTCACCATTTAATAAAAATATGTGACTTTTAGTTACACAATTTATTTTGACAGGTCCTATTTTAGAATGTGTCATTTTGTTAACGCTTTTTTATGTCCTGAAGTACAAAATATTTTTGCTTTTATTTTGATACTATATATTTGTTGGTATTATATAAATAATATTTCACAACTAATTAAGAATGACTACAAATATCTCTATTTCTTATTACAGTCATACAATAATAAAAAAATATATTTTCGGATATTTCAAAGATACAATAAATGTTTTGAAAAATAAAATTTTGGAGTCACGAGTTGAAGGGTTTAACTATAATGATTTGTTGAGATGGGGATTTCGACAGAAAAACCACGAATGTTGTATATAAATAAGTGTTTAATAATATTTAAATTCATTTTTTAAAATAACCGTTTTCTCATTTCTTAAGTTATGATTTTTATTTTATTCTATATTTTTAATTATTTTCTCTTCTATTATATTGGTTTTCGTGCAAATGCACGGGATACAACTAGTATATATGTATGTTACTCATAATTGGAATTTATGAGATACAACATCTTTGCTCCGTAATTATTTGTTGGCAAAATTGAAATTTTAGTCCTTTAGGTTTGATCCACTAGCGTTTTTAGTTCTACAAATTGAATATTTCTGAAAGCAGACTCATTTTCTGTGGTTTCCCTGATCAAGCTTTCTGCTATTTGGTCCTATGATTTTAAAATTCAACGAATCTCAGTCTTTTGGGACTGAAAATGCAATAAAATTTATAATTGCAGGATCAAAAGATAAAAAGTTGAAATCTCGGGACTAAAAATGCTACAGCGTTAAACCAGCAGGACTAAAAATGCAATCTTGCCTTATATGTTACTCATAATTGAAACCTATGAGAGGTGAAAGTACTTACAAGTTAGCTTGCCTGATTTGTTTTGTGTTGCTTATCATTTTCATCAGATCAGACAAAGGTGTGAATTTTCTAGCAAAATCAAACTTTGAAATTTTCTATAGATCGTAGGTTTAAATCTGAATGGCGGCTGATTGACTGAAAAAATTGGAGTCAAATGTCATTATCCTCTTTGACAAGCTATATTTTCTTGAGCAATAGATACTCTGCCTCCCCATACATTTTCTTTCTCTCTAACTTCTTACGCTGCCTCACAGCTTAACCTACCAAAAGAGAAAGTTTGACTTTAGTCGGCTTTCGATCAATGGCAAATCGTGTCTTGAGTCGTGTCCACAGCCTCCGTGAGCGCCTTGACGATACCCTTGCCTCTCATCGAGATGAAATAGTACTGTTTCTATCAAGGTCCACATTTTTTGTTTTCCTTTAAATTAAACCCCATAATTCAGTTTGAAGTTTGAACTAATAATCACTTCAATGCAGTAGATTTATTTCACTTTTTTCACTTATTAAAATGGTGATTATGCTAGGCTCGAAAGCCACGGAAAGGGAATTCTAAAGCCTCACCAGCTTCTGGCCGAGTTCGAGTCCATTATCCAATCGGATGATGCTAAAGGACTGCAAGATCACGCCTTCAAACAAGTTCTCAAGAGCACACAGGCAAATATCTATATAATCTCGATTTTCTTAATATTATTCGTATCCCATTAAATGCGTGTTTTTCTTTCTTGGCGTCATTTTCAGGAAGCAATCGTGTTCCCTCCTTGGGTTGCGCTTGCTATCCGGCTAAGGCCAGGCGTGTGGGAGTACATACGAGTCGATGTTAAGACATTGGCCGTGGAGGAACTAACCGTGCCCGAATATTTGCAGTTTAAGGAAGAGCTTGTGGATGGACCGTAAGCTCCGATTTTCATTTTCATCCCCCCTTTTTTCCCTTTTCATTTGTATGCCATTGATTGATCTCAATTTGTGTCAACTTTCTATTTTTGCAGTTTGAACGGCAACTTTGTTCTCGAGCTTGATTTCGAACCATTCACCGCGTCTTTTCCGAAGCCGACACTCACAAAGTGGATTGGTAACGGCGTGGAGTTCCTCAATCGGCACCTCTCGGCAAAAATGTTTCACGACCGGGATAGCATGACCCCACTCCTCGATTTCCTCCGGTCCCATCACTATAAGGGCAAGGTGAGTAATTTGTCACTTGAGTTAGTTTGATCATTTTCTTGAGTTAATTTGTTAATTATGGGATTAAATTCTTTTTTTTTTCTCTGTTTCGACAAGACATTGATGTTGAACGACCGAATAAGGAACCTTAACGCTCTCCAATCCATGCTGAGGAAGGCCGACGAGTACCTTTCCACACTTCCTCCCGACACGCCGTACGAGGATTTCGAGCACAAGTTCCAAGAAATCGGGCTCGAGAGAGGGTGGGGAGACAAAGCCGAGCGCGTGTCTGAAATGATCTCTATGCTTCTGGACCTTCTAGAAGCTCCTGATTCCTGCACTCTAGAAAGATTCCTCGGGCGGGTCCCTATGGTCTTCAACGTTGTCATTCTTTCGCCTCACGGGTACTTTGCTCAGGAGAATGTCTTGGGTTATCCGGACACGGGCGGCCAGGTATGTACAGCTGGCGAAAATTCGGGCTGGGTCTGAAGTTTTTTGTATGGGATCATGGACAACTTTTTTTTTTTTTTTTTGGCCAGGTTGTCTACATTTTGGATCAAGTTCCGGCATTGGAGCGTGAGATGGTCAAACGTATTAAGGAACAAGGACTTGATATCGAGCCACGGATTCTCATTGTTAGTTCTCGACTTCTTGTTTTAACATACGTTGAGTAAATTATGCAACTGCCCCGTCGCGTAGCGTAATTGCAAAAGTGGAACATTTTGCAACTAAGCTACACTTCAGGGTATGCTTTTATGATTAATTTTTGTTATTACCAATTTTACGAATGCTCGGTTTTGTTTTTTTTTATCTTGCAGGTGACTCGATTACTTCCGGATGCAGTCGGAACGACTTGTGGCCAAAGGCTCGAGAAGGTTTTTGGAACCGAGCACTCGCACATTCTCCGAGTCCCCTTCAGAACAGAGAAAGGGATCGTTCGGAAATGGATTTCTCGATTTGAGGTGTGGCCTTACATGGAAACTTTCACCGAGGTGAGACTAAGACGATCGTTTATTAAATTTTACACTGTTGACTGCAAATTCATAGGCCAACAACAACTTGGAAATCCTTAATCCAACTCACGTTTTTTCGTTTTTAGGACGTCGCAAAAGAAATTACGGCAGAACTGCAAACGAAGCCCGATTTGATAATTGGTAACTACAGTGAGGGGAATCTTGCAGCTTCCTTGCTTGCCCACAAGTTAGGTGTAACTCAGGTATTTTTATTATAAAAATTACCTTAAATTTTAGCAACTACTTTATATATAATCATGTTCTGCATTACGTTTTTTTCAGTGTACAATTGCGCATGCGCTCGAGAAAACGAAATATCCCGATTCAGACATCTACTTGAAGAAATTCGACGACAAGTACCACTTCTCGTGTCAGTTCACGGCCGATCTATACGCGATGAACCATACCGATTTCATCATTACCAGCACGTTCCAAGAGATAGCCGGAAGGTTTGTTTCCATTTTTGTATTATTTTTGATAAAATATAACAAAAAAATTGTATATTCTTATGCTGGCAAAAAATCTTTTTTTTTTTTAGCAAACACACTGTGGGACAATACGAGAGCCACATGGCATTCACGATGCCCGGTTTATACCGTGTTGTGCATGGCATTGATGTCTTCGACCCGAAATTCAACATCGTCTCGCCAGGAGCCGACACGAAGGTCTATTTCCCGTACACGGAAAAGGAGAAAAGGCTCACGGCATTCCATCCGGAAATCGAGGAGCTTCTGTATAGCAACGTCGAAAACGACGAACATTTGTAAGTTTCAAAATTTCAAAATTACAAAAAACAGAACTTTTACCCGACAACCCATTTTATTTCTTTCGAATTTGGGCCAGATGTGTCCTCAAAGACAAGACCAAGCCCATCCTATTCACCATGGCCCGTCTCGACCGTGTCAAGAACCTAACCGGGCTCGTCGAGCTCTATGCCAAGAGCCCCCGCCTCCGCGAGCTCGTCAACCTCGTCGTGGTCGGCGGGGACCGCCGCAAGGAGTCGAAAGATCTCGAGGAACGAGCCGAGATGAAGAAAATGTACGATCTGATCGGGACCCACCACCTGAACGGTCAGTTCAGGTGGATCTCGTCCCAGATGAACAGGCTACGCAACGGGGAGCTCTACCGATGCATAGCCGACACGAAGGGCGCTTTCGTCCAACCCGCGTTTTACGAGGCGTTCGGGCTCACGGTGGTTGAGGCCATGACGTGCGGGCTTCCGACCTTCGCGACCGTGCACGGTGGGCCCGCCGAGATCATCGTGCATGGGAAGTCGGGCTTCCACATCGACCCGTACAACGGGGAGGAAGTCGCGGGTGTTCTAGTCGATTTCTTCGAGAAGTGCAAGGTGGACCCCGCGCAATGGGACGCCATCTCGGTTGGCGGCTTGAAGCGTATCGAGGAGAAGTAATTACAAAAATGCCCCTCAACTTTTATTTTTTGGGAAAATGACAATTTGTTGTTAATAATATGCTGTCCTTTTTCTCTTAACTGCAGGTACACATGGCAGATTTACTCGGACAGGCTGCTGACGCTGGCCGGAGTGTACGGTTTTTGGAAATACGTGTCGAAGCTCGATCGGCTGGAAATCAGGCGGTACCTTGAGATGTTCTACGCGCTCAAGTTCCGTAAACTGGTAAGTTTTTTCATTACCAAGTGTACTTTTTGTTCTACAAATGTGTGTTTGAGAGTGAATGTGGTTTTTCTTGTTTATGATCACAGGCTGAAGCAGTTCCTCTGGCTGTTGAGTGATGATATTTCAAGTAATTTTCTCATATGGTGGTGTTCAAAATTTTCAAATTGCAACCAAATAACTTGCTTAATTTGTATTGCAAACTTTATAATTTCTTATTCTGAATTTGACCAGTTATTCTGATTTTTTCTTGCAAATTATTAAGTACTCACACAACCAGTGTGGTGAATCATGTGTGTTTATATATTCTGAACTATTTTTGAATAATGAAGATTGGAATGTGATGTGTACCTTGACATTTACTTGCGTTTTAATAAAAGAAATGATTCTTGAGAATGGCTATACTGTATTCATTAGTTAAGGCAGGGTTGGTAGAGTTTTGACCGGGTCCTTTGTTGCCCGGTTCAAATAGCTCACTCGTACGGGTTCCAGCTCCAAGTCGACCAAGTCCTGGGTCGACCCGCCGGGCCGGTGGTAAAAAAACTATGAATAAAAGTCCTTGTTAGGAATTGAATAATCTCAATATAAATATCAACTTACGAGCAATTTGACTAGACTTATCCAATTTTCGAATCGCAGTCTGAGTTATGCTTATGGATAAAGCAAGAATTAGTTGTTTTCCAATTTTAGACAAACCAACCAATCACGTGCCGTGTACAGTGTAAAATCAGATTTGATGATGTCCTGATATTATAACCATGGGCTAGAAATGGATACATTGTGCAATGTTTTTTTGGTATCTAAGTTAGACAAATAAATAAATAAAAATAAAAACGATTGAACAGTTTTAAAAGAGACATGACCACATCACATCTTTCCCTAGACCTTAAGCAGGATTGAGACAGAAACTAGGGAAAAATGGGTGCGGGCCCACCAATATGAAGCGCACCATGACAATAGAGAAAAGCCCATATGAAGTCAAAATAAGGTTTCATCCCAAAACCAATTGGTGGAAGGAGAAGAAATCCATTAGACTTATAAGGTGAGTCTATTTTCCAAGTATGAACCATGTGGGATAACTCACAAGTGATATTCTAACAGATTGCTTTCTTTTTTTTTAGTAGTTCGAGCTCCAACTTGTCGAGCTCGATTTATGAGGCTCGAGCTCCACTCGATAAAAAAGTACAATCGCTCGAGCTCGACTCAAAATAAAAATGCTTGAGCTCGGCTCAAAATTTTTTAAGTAGAAAAATAAAATTACCATTAAGCATCTATTCTATCCTATTGTAATATACATACATACATA